ATACAGTACGGTACCACTGTACGAGATTCACATTGCGCTTTGGCTTGATTATGAATAGCTATAAGTACCAATCTGAAAGTATTTAAGATGATGATGGGACTGCAAAAAGATAGACTTCGTAATTCACGTGGTCTGTTCGCCGCTCGCCAGTAACTAAATGTATATATATCCAAAAGATGGTAAAAGTACCTTCTTGTTATTTGTGTAGTATCACTTATTCTTTTCGTATATACTCGTGAAATAACTAGACTAACCATGCACCAGAGGCTCTCGATTTCGTTACGGTTAGGAGCGCGTGAACCTGGCGTCTTTGCGTTGGTTATTGCAGACTCATGAAGTCAACGCTTTATCTGTGTAAAGTGATTGCGACCCCTTTGCGAATTAGGTCAAGATTGCCGAACAAGATGCAATTGACCATGATGTTCTTAAGCTCATACTCTCTACTAATCCACGGAAGAGGCAGGCCAGGTCGAAGGCGGTCACGGTACCCGGGTTATCTAAACAAAGGGGGACTTCAGACTCCCACGAGATTTTAAATTAGGATATTTTCTTCACATGACCAGGTACTGGTAATAGCCTCGTTGTACCCGCCAGAACACCGATCAATCCACGTGAAATTTTTTCGAATGGCTTGACATGCGTCTGAGGCTGATCATGGTCTAGAACTTGGACACGCTCGTTAAGCGTCGCTATTGTTCTGCCCGGCTTTAGACCTCCTCAGCTGTATAAAACCGCTTTGCTGCTCCACGGCAGAGGGTGAGTCAGCTGCCGTGGATCACTTTGCAGCCGACTGCCTCGTAGTTGCGGAAACGTGGTATAGCTTTAGCCACCCTACACAGCACTGGATTTGTTTGGATTGTAGCGCTGACGAATTTTGGTGCGGACGAGCTATGCGCAAATCATGAGCAAATGTAGCGTGTTAAGAGCTGATATAGGATTACTCTTAATTATCGAATGAATATACGTGTCCGCATAAAATGAAGTCGGTTAGGAATGAGATTATCTGATCAGTCTCGATCTCTATTCGCTACAACTGTAGGGGGTTTGATTAAGCACGGATGCAAGTTAGTCGCTAAGACCGCAGATACTGCACGTGTAGAAAGATTGAGCGCATTTAATAAAACATTTTGTCCCAAAACATAATTGTGTGCGGTCCACCTATCCGTGGTATTGGCTTGCTGTTTTTATTCATCCTGCTTCCCAACAATAGCACCGCGCACCCTCTCATTGAAATGAAACACCTGTCTTTTCTGCAAAATGTAGCCAAGCTGATATCAGTAAGTCGAATATATCGCCAGTCCTTTCTGCACTAAGTCCACAGCCACTTCGCCAAGATACTTGGGTTTGCCAAACCATTTTTTAGAAATGAATTGAAGCCCGAAGAGGCAAGTATAGCGTTATCCAGCGCAAATTTAAAGGAGTTTGTGTAAGAAATAAATGCATGATATAGAACGAAAACCTGCATGATTCTTGTTGAAAAGAAGTCACTGCGATCCGTCCGGCCGTTGTGGGGGCAACTCGCTTCAACACCGCGGCCTCTCTGCTCAAGTGCTTCGGTAAATATTTTCCACCATGCAATTGACGGTTCTGTCTAAAAATCTGTTGACGAGTGGTCTGCTGTTGACATTTACATCTGGTGCCGGGCACATTACACGAACCAAAAATTTGCTGTCAAGGGCGAAACTATAGTCGTCTAAATAAACTGTGTGGGCGAAGCATTTCATCGCGGAGAAAATAGGCTGAATTGTCGCCCAGTTTTCAACAATGATGGTCAGTTTGAACAGGCGGTCCAAAAGACCGTAATACCGGTATTACCGGACAAGTGTTGCGGAAGACTGATATAGGTCCATCTTATGTACTGCTAAATATGTACCGGGACCGAAGGACAGGCCAAATGTGCCGCCGCATGCGGCGAGGGTTCAACGCACATGTGCGCTCATATGCGCTTGCCCACTTGTACGTGATGCGCCAAAAAAACATAGCGCTCACCGCACAATATGTCCCTTCTCTACCAAATAGGCAACAAAAGTGGTATATTGTATCTTGTACAGTGAAGTCCTTCTCACGGAGCGACACTACACACAGAGTGTCAAGTAGGTCAATACTGTTAAACAATACTCCGAGTATAAGGCATAACGGTGTGGGCGTCTTCGATTAAACTTCATCTGAGCTTTCAAAAATTCAGCTTCCCAATGGTTTTAGCAGCGCAACATATGTTGCGTCTGACCCATATGATGTACAAGTTGCCTCATTAAATGACGACGTCACCATTGTGACATGTGACAATTCATCTTCGAGGTGACGCAAAAGCGTGTCTGCCACCACGCTAAGCCGATTCAGCTTATACTATCTCAAAGTACACTACCAAATTAGGATGATCATCTTGTAATTCGTGAGAGATGTGGTGTCGACGTCTCTGTGCACAGCTATGCATGATCTGTATATATCACAAAAGGCGCCAAGCAGGTGTGCCTTGGACTTGACGAGGGTACGCATCAGTGCAAGTAGCTTTTAGTATGAGCACAGTAGTTCACCTCTGCCGTTTAAAGCTTGTATATATAAAAGGCAAGCCCGCATTCATGTCTATCGGCATGTCTATCGGCATGTCTATCGGCATCTGCTTGGAGTAAAGGACAGCCTAATGGTAAAGTCGAAGCGTCACGACCGACATGAAATGACCGATCGGGTTTGGCATAATTCGAATTACGCACTAGGTTTCATTCGCAGCGTTGAAGACGCATCTTCTGTCGCCACTAACATCTTTTCATATCCTTTTATGTTATTCGTGGGAGGTCGTGCCATGTCGACACAGTAAGCAACTTACTTGTGGTTGAAATTTTCCAGGCAAGACCACTTCCTTAAGTCCATTGGACGCAAAATCTGTGGCCAATTTACAATGACCGTTTTAATTGCGGGATCTGCTCTCAAATTATGATTCCAATGGAGCAACCAGGCAGGCGATTTTCTGGCGTCGACGACACAAATATATATGTTGGCGAATAGCTTATTTGAGTGCATACAGTCAAGTTTGCAAGTGTTCAATGTGGTTCATCACATCCAACATGCCGTGCTCTGTGCGACTATGGAGGAATAAACGGTCTAAAGAGATTTGTGCATAACCAAAATGTGGCCGCGACATATGTGTCACTAGACATTTGATCGTCGTTGTTGCATTTAAACACTCGGTTCCATTAAAAGCCAATTCCAGAACATCTCACCCGGATAAACCACCGCAGTGAGATGTCACTCATCGGCAAGAACAAGTCCGAGGGCACTGAACAAAATGCGGATGCTTACGCTGATCTAAAGCACATCGTTTCTAGTAACCGACGTTTGCACCAAATTCGTATCTGCATTTAGCTTATTATAATACACACAATTTGCCACTTGTCGTTAGCTTTCTGACACGAATATCTGGCACCGAGTAGAAAGCTTTGCTTTATCCCACCGAGCCGGCTTGTGCCTAGCGTGTAAGAAATGAAGCGTCAGTAACGCCAAACTATTGACTTAGTGTAGACTTTGCCGTGTGGCGCATATTTGGTTATTTGGTCCAGGATCTTAAAAATATCATGACTCATTACCCCCGCGTGGTGGGTCTCTTCCGTCATAAAATCGTGATGATCCTTTGGCGAAGGATATATAATACGGTGGATTCTTGAGTAAAACTGTCCCACTCCTCATACTCTACGAGTGTTTTCAATGGCATTTTCATTCATGGTGGATCACAAACTTAGCATATCCTCCATTAGCCATAAATTTCGATGACTGCATCGTCTTGCAATTTTCTGCACATGCACATACCTTCTGAAGGATGAATTCTTCTGCTATACAAGAGTTTCTCTTGAAGGATAAATTCTTCTGCTTTCAAGAGTTTCTCCGGAGATGGTGAGGGTGGATCAACCCCTAAGACTACACCAGCACTCCAATCTCCAATCGCGATTGAATGATCATTTTCATTACTTACGCGTGGGGCTTCACCGCCCCGCAGCTATATCATCATAATGAGCCGTCCATCTTATTTAAGGACCTGCGCGACTCAAGTCGGCCATAACCTCCTCATAATCTGTCACGGGTGACTGCGAAACCCTGTCGAGTCCTCTCGATATCTGCATCGGTACAGTGTACTGAATTTCACAGCTGATTTCTATCGTCCCGCCAGATACCTCTGGGACCATGACATACAGTTGCCCAAAGATATACGCTTTGGAGATCGGCAAACACTCACTTTTTGTTTAATTTTGAGACTTCGGCTCATTGCAGCTTTCATCTTCCGAGCCCTGGTCGAGGTGCGAACAAAATAATGTTCTTACCTTCGTGATAGCGCCAAAAGCCTTCTGCTTTCTGGCAAAGGTGATTTATGACTCGCCACAGCTCCACCGATAAAAGTGCGGGCTCTTGAATTTCCGAAGTCTTGCCGATCCGAGACTCGTGGTGTTTCAGTCACACCGTACCTAGAATGTAATCTCAACTCAAATCCATTCCAGGACGAAACGCATTTCCATGCTGTCAGTTTTCCTCAAGTGAAATTAAATCTTCTTCGATGCTTCACCGTGTCTCGTCGTAAGCAAATGGACTTCACATTCGTGGTGGCACCTTCAGCGCATCCAGACACTGTGCACTATTTTCAACAGCCGTGCGTCGTACGTAATTGCAAGACGGTCATAAATCATCCAATACAAACAAGCCCGAGACATTGATATCAAAACCCAAAAGTTTGAAGTGTGAACATCACCTCTCTGAGAACGAGATAGAGCTCAAAAAGCTATACTGGGTCGAAGTTTCTTCGCGAAATCTTGTAGAGGTCCTTGCAGAAAGCTCGACTCGTCGTTCCTATCACCCGGTAGCGAGGGGGGGGTGCAGGGCACAGATGATTTGTAAAATCGACACATAAAGTATCTGCAAACATCGCAAGGCTTCTTTGCGGCCAACAAATTTATCTTGTCGTCAACAACGTTACTGAAGTCCATCGCCTCTTGGCGCTTAAAGAGCTTCCATTTCAATTATCTTTTCCGGCCCCCGAGACACTCCGCTTTCCACCGCTCCCGAACGAAGAGAGGTAAGCCTAAAAGATCTCGATGTATCGCCGCAACCATTTGGACACCCTCTATAGAGCAAGCTACCGTTTCCACCTCTGGAAGAGGATCCGACGCCACTGTAAAGATAACAGATCTTAGCCTTTGGGCATAGTCTACTCACTTTTGGCAAGTTTTGCCAGGCGGGCAAGAATGTTAAACGCACCCAATGCGCCTGGCACTTTTATCCATTTCATGCTGAACAAGCCTCGCTCACAGAAGTACTACATCCAATTGTGTGCGTGGTTTTCTTGCTTGGATCACGGCAACTTTGATGATAATCATAAAATTCTACGTCCAAAGGACAAATTATTTCCGTCCTGGACTCCGAATGTTTGCTTTTTTTGATATAGGCGGATTTTTGTGGGTGCCATCTGTTTTCTTACCAGCACCCGATTGAGGAGCTCCTCAAAAAGTCTCGTCAGCGCATACTTCTAGTTTGCCACCAAAAGACGAGCGACAAACGCATCTGGTCGTTTGGCTGCCAAAATGTCTATCGTTGGTCCTATCGGGATCAACGGCAAAACCATCAAGGAGGTCGAGATGTTTTCGAAACAGTTATCGGACATCTCATACCCTAAAGGAGATACTGTCATTTAACGACTCGGTCTTCAGGTTGCCTACAGTGTTTCCAAGTGCAACCTCTTACTGGCTCTCTGCCAGCCACTCATCATACCATGCTGTCGTCCCCTCCTCTTCTCCCGTTGCCTCCTCCGTCTACGTTTCCAGCGCTGACAGCCGTTGTGCCTGCTGATGCGGTCGACCCCGACGACGAGATAATAGACGCGACTTCAAACACTGCCAACTCGCCTCCTAACGCTGCTGCTGCTTTGGACGACGAGTCGGTGGATT